GGGGGGGGCACCAGAAACACCCCCCCGGGGGGCAAAAAAAAATCCCCCTGGGGGGGCAAAAAAACCTCAAAATCTTGGGGGGCAAAACCCCAAAATGTCCTGGGGGGGCAAAAAAAACCCCAAAATGTCCTGGGGGGCACCAGAAACACCCCAAAATCCCCCGGGGGAGGGCAAAAAATCCCCTGGGGGGGCAAAAAAAAAACCCCTGGGGGGCACCAAAATCATCCTGGAGGTACCAAAGATCCCCTTTGGGATGAGTCTGGGGGCTTAAAACTGCCCTGGGGGCAACAAAACCCCTCCTTGGGCTGGGTCTGGGGTCTCGCCCCGCTGACCCCTCCCCAAATTCCCACTCCCAGAATCCAGACTGGGATCGGGGGGGGGTTGGGGGGGGTTGGGATCCCACTCCCCACTTCAGTGGGGGATGCAAAACTGCTTCTGTAAATGGGTCTGGGGTCTCCAATTGGGTCTGGGGTCTCCAATCCCCCCCAGGCTCCCGACAGGGATGCAGGGCGCCTTCGGGAAGCCGCAGGGCACGGTGGCGCGCGTGGGTCTGTGACTGGGTCTGGGTCTGTAACTGGGTCTGGGGTCTCAGGCAGATGTGTAACTGGGTCTGTGACTGGGTCTGGGGTCTCAGGCAGATGTGTAACTGGGTCTGTGACTGGGTCTGGGGTCTCTGTGTGAGTCTCTAATTGTGTCTGGGGTCTCTAATTGGGTCTGGGGTCTCTAATTGGGTCTGGGGTCTCCAGGCTGCAGACGGGGATGCGGGGCGCCTTTGGGAAGCCGCAGGGCACAGTGGCGCGCGTGCATCTGTGACTGGGTCTGGGTCTGTAACTCGGTCTGTAACTGGGTGTATAATTGGGTCTGGGGTCTCTAATTGGGTCTGGGGTCCCCACAGGCTGCAGACAGGGATGTGGGGCACGTTCGGGAAGCCGCAGGGCACGGTGGCGCGCGTGGGTCTGTGACTGGGTCTGGGGTCTGTGACTGGGTCTGGGGTCTCAGGCAGATGTGTAACTGGGTCTGTGACTGGGTCTGGGGTCTCTGTGTGAGTCTCTAATTGTGTCTGGGGTCTCTAATTGGGTCTGGGGTCTCTAATTGGGTCTGGGGTCTCCAGGCTGCAGACCGGGATGCGGGGCGCGTTCGGGAAGCCGCAGGGCACGGTGGCGCGCGTGCGTCTGTGACTGGGTGTATAATTGGGTCTGGGGTCTCTAATTGGGTCTGGGGTCTCTCCAGGCTCCAGACGGGCATGCGGGGCGCCTTCGGGAAGCCGCAGGGCACGGTGGCGCGCGTGCGTCTGTGACTGGGTGTAGGGTCTGTGACTGGGTCTGGGGTCTCAGGCAGATGTGTAACTGGGTCTGTGACTGGGTCTGGGGTCTCTGTGTGAGTCTCTAATTGTGTCTGGGGTCTCTAATTGGGTCTGGGGTCTCCAGGCTGCAGACGGGGATGCGGGGCGCCTTTGGGAAGCCGCAGGGCACAGTGGCGCGCGTGCATCTGTGACTGGGTCTGGGTCTGTAACTCGGTCTGTAACTGGGTGTATAATTGGGTCTGGGGTCTCTAATCGGGTCTGGGGTCTCTCCAGGCTCCAGACCGGGATGCGGGGCGCGTTCGGGAAGCCGCAGGGCACGGTGGCGCGCGTGCACATCGGCCAGGTGATCATGTCCATCCGCACCAAGGCCCAGAACAAGGAGCACGTGGTGGAGGCGCTGCGCAGGGCCAAGTTCAAGTTCCCCGGCAGGCAGAAGGTACCGGGGCTCCCAAAATGGGTCTGGGGGATGCCAGAATGGGTCTGGGGGTGCCCAGAATGGGTCTGGGGGTGCCCAAAATGGGTCTGGGGGCATTCAAAATGGGTCTGGGGGTGTCCAAATGGTTCTGGGGGTGCCCCAAAATGGGTGTGGGGGATCCCAGAATGGGTCTGGGGGCTCCCAAATGAGTCTGGGGGGTGCCAAAATGGGTCTGGGGGCTCCCTAATGGGTCTGGGAGTGCCCAAAATGGGTTTGGGGGCACCCCAAAATGGGTCGGGGGGTACACAGATGGGTCTGGGGGCTCCCAGAATGGGTCTAATGGGTGCACAGATAGGTCTGAGGACACCCCAAAATGGGTCTGGGGGCACTCCAAGTGGGTCTGGGGGCACATAAATGGGTCTGGGGCACTGCAATGGGTCTGAGGGTACCCCAGAGGTTTCAGGGGCACCCAAAATGGGTCTGGGGGCTCCCTAATGGGTCTGGGGGTGCCCAAAATGGGTCTGGGGGCTCCCTGATGGGTGATGGGTCTGGGGGCTGCCAAAATGGGTCTGGGGGCTCCCTGATGGGTCTGGGGGCTCCCAAAATGGGTCTGGGGGCTCCCTGATGGGTCTGGGGGCTCCCAAAATGGGTCTGGGGGTACCCAAATGGGTCTGCGGGATCCCAAAATGGGTCTGGGGGCACCCCAGAGGTTTCAGGGGCACCCAGAATGAGTCTGGGGGCTCCCCAAAGGGTTCAGGGGGGGTTGGGGGTCGAGGTGGAGTTTTCTGGGGTGCCAGAAGCTTCTGAGCAGCTCTGGGGTGCCCCAGACTTTGCAGTGGGGGGGTTTTGGGGTCCCCCTGATGGATTTTCGGGGTCCCCCCAGATCCACATCTCCAACAAATGGGGGTTCACCAGTGGGGGGGGGCCCAAAAATCCAAACTTCAGACAAGGGGGGAATTCCTGGTGCTGAGAACCTTAAAATAATCGAGTAGGGGGGACCTGGACACCCCCAAATTTTTTTGTGGGGGAGTTTTGGGGTCCCCCCGATGGATTTTTGGGGTCCCCCCAGATCCACATCTCCAAGAAGTGGGGGTTCACCAACGTGGGGGCCCCCAAAAATCCAAACTTCAATCAAGGGGGGAATTCCTGGTGCTGAAAACATTAAAATCAATGGGATGGGGGGAGCTGGACACCCCCAAATTTTTCTGTGGGAGGTTTTGGGGTCCCCCTGATGGATTTCGGGGTCCCCCCAGATCCACATCTCCAAGAAGTGGGGGTTCACCAGTGGGGGCTCCCAAAAATCCGAAGTTCAGACAAGGGGGTTCCCAAAATCCTTAAAATCAATGGGATGGGGGGAGCTGGACACCCCCAAATTCTGCTGTGGGAGGTTTTGGGGTCCCCTTGATGTTCTTTTTGGGGTCCCCCCAGATCCACATCTCCAACAAATGGGGGTTCACCAACGTGGGGGCCCCCAAAAATCCAAACTTCAATCAAGGAGGGAATTCCTGGTGCTGAGAACCTTAAAATAATCGGGTAGGGGGAACCTGGGAACCCCCAAATTTTTTTGTGGGGGGGTTTTGGGGTCCCCCTGACGGATTTCGGGGTCCCCCCAGATCCACATCTCCAAGAAGTGGGGCTTCACCAAGTTCAACGCCGACGCCTTCGAGGAGATGGTGGCGCAGAAGCGCCTGATCCCCGACGGCTGCGGGGTCAAGTACGTCCCCTCGCGGGGACCCCTGGATCGCTGGAGAGCCCTGCACGCCTGAACCCCAAAAACCCCCCAAAAACACCCGGGGGGAGCCCCAAAAACACCCGGGGAACCCCAAAACCCGCGGGGAGCCCGGGTGGCTTTGGGGCTCTCGGTGGAATAAAAGCTTTCGGTTCCTTTGCTGGTGGCGCCGTTTGGGTTTTTTGGGGTTTTGTCCTTGTTGGGTTTTGGGGGGTCCCAGAAAGTCGGGGTGTTCT